CAGCACTGTGCCCTCGTGGCCAAGAGGGCTAATGGCATCCTGGGGTAGGTCGAGAGAAAAAACTTCTTCACAGTGAGGGGGACAGAGCACTGGAACAGGCTGCCCAGAGAGGTTGTGGAGTCTCCTTCTCTGGAGACATTCAAAGCCCGCCTGGATGCGTTCCTGTGTGATCTGATCTAGGTGTTCCTGCTCCAGCAGGGGGATTGGACTAGATGATCTTTTGAGGTCCCTTCCAATCGCTAACATTCTGTGATTGTGATTCTGTAATTTTCCTCTTGGCAGCTAGTACAGGGCTATGTTTTGGCTGATAACACACTGATGTTTTATTTGTTGCTGAGCAATGTCTACATTGAGCCAAAGACATCACAACTTCCCATGCTTTGCAGTGTGCAGTGCACAAGAAGCTGGGAGGGAGCCCAGACAGAGCTACAGACCCACAAACACTGGTTTAAGATTTGAGCTTAGGTTTAGGATTGAGGCCCAAACTGGCCAATGGTCTATTCCATATCATCCCACATGATGCCCAGTATATAGACGAGGGTGGCAGGAAGTTCACTCTTGCTTTCTTGGTCAGCTCGCTCTTTCTTCCAGGATTGTGGTTTTGGGACTCTCCCTGCTCCTGGATCGTTAGCTGGGAATGAGCTGGGCCTTGGTCATCGGGTGGTGAGCAGTTTCACTGTGTTATCACTCATTTGTATATTATTACTATTATTATAATTATTCTTTTCAATTTTATTGTATTTCAGTTTCTAAATTGTTCTTATCTCAACCCACAAGTCTCCTTGCTCTTTACCCCTTCAATTCTCTCCCCTATTCCCTAGGGACGGGGGAGGGTGAGCGAGCGGCTGCATGGTTTTCGGTTGCCACTGTGTTAAAACCACAACAACGGGCTTCTTGATCTCTCTCCATAGAGCATAAAATGAATGTGAACAGGCACTTTAAAGCTGCAGACCCAGCCTGGCAGCTAAGCCTTCCCTGCAAGCCTAGCTGTGCTGTGGGTGACGTACCTCCTGGAAGTTGGTGACTTGATCCAAGGGCAAACCCTCCTCCTCCTCGATGGCGTGCCGCAGTGTCTTCTCCACGTGCTGCACCAGGAAGTCAAAAGTAGCTGGATTCTGCAGGGGCATAGGGATGGCACTGAGACCGGGAGCAGCCTTTCCCAGCTGCAGCCTGGCAGTTCCTGCCCTGCTGCCGGAGCTCTAAGCCTGGCTCCGCAGCAGAGGGCAGCATATGAATGCATGAGCAGGGTCTACACTACTGATACCAGGCCAGGAAAAAAAAAATGCAAAGAAGGGAAGAGACAAAGGCAAATAACTAGCAGGCGTCTGGATTTGTGTTTGGTAGTGCAGCACCACGTGCTGGCTGGTGCAAGGGTCCAAAGATTCAGACTTAGTCCAGACTCTTTTATACACCCAGTGCATGCTCCCCCATGATCATTCACTAGATGATATCCACAAAAATGTCCCACACTGAGTGTGGTGCATTGGACAGCAGAGAGTGAAGCTGCCTGTGAAAACTTAAGAGTCCATGAGCACAACACAAGCATGAAGCAGGGCAAGGGGGAGGTGATGGAGATAGCAGCGAGAACCAGAAACAGGTGAAAGATGCCCAAGAAGGGTTCAGAAGGAGTTTAGTTTGGGTGGGAGAACGACAGAGGGAGGCCAGAACCCCAAGGGGACAGAGGTATATCTTCCAAGAACCACTGGCTCAAAACCAACCCCAAATGCCCACTTCACTGCTCTCCCTTGCTGTCAACAAGATCTGCCTTGCTTCCAGTATGTGACACATGACACGTGCTCTCCCAGTGAAGCCCAGATGGATTGCTCCCATCCTTGCCCAGCCCAGCTCCATGCAGCTGCAGGTGTTCAGGGTCCCCTGAAGTGTGACAGACACTGTCCCAGCCCAGTAGGGACACACAGGAGATGTTAACACCCGCTCAGGGTTGTTCCTCACCACCACGATCCTCTGCAAGGACAGGGGTTGGCTGCGTCTCTTACCATTTTGAAGCGGCAGGGGATGTCACTGCGGAAGACCCCAGATTCCAGCGCTTCCACATGGCCTCCCACGTATGTCTCCGAGTCCAGCACATGGCCATCTTCTGTAAGTTTGTTGAATTCCTGCTCCTGCTTGTTGGGGAAGATGATGTTGGCGTGATAGGCCTGAACCATCAGCAGTGCCTCGCACAGTGTCCCAGATCCTTTCCTTAACACCTGCAGGAGAGGCATCAAAGCTGCTTTTAAACTAAAAAAAGAGTAGATTTAGATAAGATATAAGGAAGAAATCCTTCATTATGAGGGTGGTGAGGCAGTGGCCCAGGCCGCCCAGGGAAGCTGTGGATGCCCCATCCCTGGAGGGGTTCAAGGCCAGGCTGGATGAGGCTTTGGGCAACCTGGGCTAGTGGGAGGTGTCCCTGCCCATGGCAGGGGGGTTGGAACTAGGTGACCTTTGAAGGTCCCTTCCAATCCAAACCATCCTGCCATTCAGCAAGAAGTCTTGTACTAGTACCAGTGGGACCGCACTGGTGACACGTGTGACCAGGCAGCGGGCAGTGCTGCAGCCCATGGCAAGGATGATGGGAGCAAGTGAGAAACCAACACCGACTCGTTCGTGTTGGCCAGGAGGGGAGCAGGCTATGGACAGTACAAAGACCTCCAGACCTCTGCTGCCACCATCTCCTGGCACTACTGCACTGTCCAGCACCTTTGTAAGCTAAACAAGGTGAGGACAGAGGGACATTTTCTACATGCTTAGCACAGACAGCTTCCTAACCATCCTCCCTACAGCTGACAACAGCCATCAGGAGACCCAGCTTTGCATGACCGCAACTGCAAGTAAACTTGGCTGAGCATAGAGCATCAGCCATACTTTCTTGCTCTGGCTCTGTACTGCCAGCCCTCAGGTCTCTTGTTCTTAAGCACCTCTCTCAAAACACCACCAGGCTGCCGAGAGAAAGGAGAAGCATCCCAATCCACCCTCTCTCCCTCCCTGACACAGACGGGAACGTGCCCGGGCAGTGGGAACCAGGTCCGTGGCCAGAGCATCCCTGCAGTGTGGGAGATGTGGCTCTTTGCCCAACAAAGAAAATCATCATTTCAGGAGTTCACCCACCTCATCAGGCTCCATGGGAATGATGGTGCACAAGGCGAAAATGAAAGGATGCACATACTTCATATACATGTAATAGGTAGCAACTGCGTCAGACACTGAATAGGTGGCCAGGGTCTGTCGGGGAAGGGCGAGAGGCAAATTAATCACGATCACATGTGATAGAGCAGCTCAACAACAATAATCCTTCACTGCTTCCTGCTGGACATGTGCGTACCAGCAGGAAGAATGGAAAAGGTGTCTTTCTCCACATTCTAGGTTGTAAAGAATAATCTGTTCGCGTCCAAGGACATCCTGCTCTAGCTCTAATTACACAGCGATACATCAGCTTTGGATAAGACATGGGGAGGATGAGCCATGGCAGAGCTGCTGCCCTGTCTGGCATCAGGAGGCTGCTCCAGGGCTTCATCAGAAATCCCCTGCCCGCGACATCTGTGCTATTTATTGTCCCTCCAGCAAGTTATGGCCCTTTGTGGTATTTCTGATTTGGGTGGCACTTGCCCCCTTGCATTGATGTAAATAGAGAAAATACACAGTGCCAGTGTTAGAACCACTTCAAAGAAATGCTGTTCTTTCTCCCCACAAGCTCAAGTGCTTCTAAGGCATCAGCAATTTCCGTGAGTCAGATTGAGTTAACTTCTCAAAACTCACTGCACTAAGCAAAAAACATTTGGTAACACTTGAAGATTCAATCACATTGCAGCTGCTCTGGGCTTGTCTTCCAGCTGCTCAGAGATACAGCACAGAGAGGGAATACCTGCGGCTGCTCCGTAGCCATCCGGCACATCTCTTCAGGGTCCAGCTCCACTGGATCATAACCCAGTTTTGCTTTAGTTGCTGCTTTCAGGTTGTGACTTCCCACTGGGAGGTAACTGTCTCTCTTCACCCACCTGGACAGAATCATGCAAGTACCAGTTTGTGCAGAGGAATGAGCCCTGCCCTTCAAAAAGGGGCTCAAGCTTGCAAACAGGACCTCTGTCACAAAGGGGATCTCTCACTGAGGACAGCCAAGAGCCGAGCATCCAGTGCGGTGGAGTAAGAGGTCGCCCATCTTCAGATATCCTGCGTCCCTACCAATGCACTTAAATCCCAACCAGGACAAACCCCCCTACCCATCCCATCACCACTGCTCAGAACTACCACCTTCCAACTCCCTCAGTGGCTCTAAGATAAATATTGAAGCACTGGAGGAGACCCCAGCAGGACTGCAAGGCCAGCCAGCCACTGTCCCCTCGGACACCAGAGGACAGCCACCAGCGGCTGCAGGGAGAGGCAGGGCTTGCAGGCCCCGACGCTCGGCAGCTGCTGCGGTACGCAGAGGGCCGAGGGGAAGCAGCACAGTCACAGAAACGGACCATCACGCCTAGGGAGGTGCGACACACGAGAGCTTCCAACAGAGAGGAGGAGGACAGTGATCAAATACAACTGTAGCTATTGAATATAAAGTCAAGAGATAAAGATGACAAAAAGGTAGCATTCAGTACCTTAAACAGTCCATGTGGATGCACTGGGATGATTTGTACTCTCCCTGGCTGTCCTTCTGAAACCCAATTTCCTGATACATATTAATTCCATGAGCCGCTGCTCTTGCTTCCACAAAGGGCCTGGGAAAAGAGGCAACGTGAAGAGAAGGAACAGAACAGCCCCTTCTCTTTATCTCCAGCAACAGTTTCACAACTTCTGTGTTACAAACTACCTAAAGAATTTTTCTTGTGATTCATCTGTGATATCTGCGCACAAGGAAAACTTCCCGCAGGACAGGATTGCAGCATGACCCAAGAGGCAAAGCCGCTCGCTGACATCCTGCACCAGGAGGGGGAGGCCCATGGTCCCCCTCCCCTTGCTCCCCAAAGGCTTGTCTGCACCCCTCTCCCCGACATCCTCCAGGTCTTTTGCCCCTCTCCCCGCTCTACCAAGGCTGGGCTCATCCATACACCAACATTTCCACACTGACAAAGGTTCAAAGCAGCTCAGCCAGGCGGATGGGGCTCCACAGAAGCTCACACTTCCAAGCCCGTGATGCAGGATTTGGCGAGGTGCTCAGAGTGGCCAGACAGTCGGCATGAATCACACGCTCTCACCACTCTGTGAGCCATGGGAGGATGTCGAGGCTGGTACCTGACCCTGCCCCACAGCTCAGGTGACACCTTGCCAGCTTAGTTTTCACTCCTGATCTCACCAGTCAAAGAAGTCTCCGTTGTACGTGACAATGATGGTGGGCTTGGTCTCCTGGACATGTTCAAACCACCTCTGGATTAAATGAGCCTAGGATGAAACAGAAGAGTAGAAAAGATAAATACATAAAGTAACTTCAGCTCCTCCATGGAGAGGTGCTGGATACCGTACAGTTTACTCCACCCTTTTCCTCTCCTCCCCACCTAGCCCTAACCTGACCTCTCTTGCCCTTATTACCAAGCAATGAAAGCATGACCAGCCCTGCCGGACCCACCACGCTCCCCAGCGAGGCAGCCTACCAAGCCATGAGCTCTCTTGGGCCAACAAGAGCCCCAGGCAGGTAAAAAGTCTGCCAGGCAGAATTACTTACTTCATCTGGTTCATTAAAGACACAAAAAGGACCCTCATACTCTGGCTTTGGAGTAAACTCGAAGTCTTCGATATCCTCAGAGACGATCTCCCTGTTTGTGATCAGGTAGCCCTACGGGAGGTGACAAGGAGGCAGTTAGGAGGACTTGGCTTGCAGACAACCCCAAAATGCTGTCCAAACGACGCGACGCTTTCTTCTTGAAAGCCAGAGCTTCTGTCCAGGGGGAACAACTGTCTGGGAGTCACCTG